CTGCTGCATGCTTCCTGACAGTTGGTTTAGGCTTTCCTGAGCCCTGAACTGAGTACCATGAGACCTTGTCCCTGGGGTTCCCTGATAAGTCCTGGTAAATCTCTAGATCCTTGCTGAAGACTGCGGCCAGGCTACAAAAGCTACAAAAGCCCTACAGGCTTCTGCATCCTAAGTGACGCCTGCCCCCAGGTCCCTGAGCTCTTTAATGGGGCATAGGTGAGGGTATGGGGATTTATTAACCAGACATGGCTGACCTCTATTGTCTAGCCAACAGTCATTACCAGCAGTAATCTGCTGGCTCTCAGGAGCTTCATATTCTACCTGGATGCCAGTAACAAGGGGAATACTGCAGAGGAATGTCACAGGACCTGTCCAATTTAATTTTTTTATCAATGACTTGGAGGGGGCAAAAGCGCTTACAAGGTTTGCAGATGGTGCCAGATTAGGTGGTGGGATGGTGGTGTGGGCCTAGCAGATAGGTTTGCATGCCACCCAGAAGGACCTAGGCAAGATGCAGGAATGAGCCAACAGGAACTTTATGAAATTCAACAGGGACAGAGTCCTGCACCAGGAAAGGAATAGCCCGTCAACAGAATGGCTGGGGACTGACTGGCTGAGGAGAAACTTCTGTTGAGAAGGAGCTGGGGGGGTCCTTGTAGATGCTAAGCTGCCATGAGCCAGCAGTATACCCTGGAAGTAAGAAGGGCCAAGAGCATCCCGGGCTGTATCAAGACCAGCAGATTAAGGTGAGTGACTGTTACCTCTCTAATCAGTGTTAAGAGTTTATCTAGAATACTGCGTCCAGGCTTGAGCTTCCCCAACTCAGGTAAGATACAGACAGAACGAGATGATCTTTAAAGGTCCCTTCCAACCCAAACTACTCTGTGAAAGCTGTATCTAGAAGCTTCTGTGAAGTTGAAGAAAAGCATAAAGTGTCAAACTTTGGAACACTTCATTCCAATCCTTTCATCCCTTTTCCCCTTGAAGACGTGAAAAAAAGGCCATTATCATAACTTCTTATTTCCTCATATATTTCAAATAATAAATTGCAAAGTGTTCCATCACTACTTGAATTTAGATGATTGCAAAAATATAAGACAAAATCCCACACTGGAACTCAAGTCCAGTAAAGGACTTAAGAGGAGTTCTATCTTACCTTTAATGTAAAAGGTAACACAAGTTTCTATACTTCCCTGATTCTTAACTTCTTGGTCAGAACTCTCAGCTGGAGTCAATGGGAGTTTGTCCTGAGAAGGGAAGGGGAACTGCTGCACATGGCAACTAGGAACTCTATCGGTTACAGGTACTTACGATGCTTACAGTGTTGTGTAAGTCTGAATTATACCTTAGTCGTCTGTGATTCTCTGACTTTATCATGTCTCATTTTCCATCTGGCATTTTCAAGCAGCAGGATGCGGTTTTGTTCTTGGTCTTTCACCCTCTGTTGCTGCAGCTTTTGGTTCTCTCTTCTGAACTCACAAATCTGCTGTTGCATCGTCTTCATCTCAGCTTGTTCATTTTCAAATTCTGCTTGCAGGATTCGAAGCTGAGCAGCCAGCTTGTTATATTTGGATCACAGCTGTTGACTTGCTGCCAACGTGCCATCCTTTTCTCCCTGGAATTTTGTTTGCAAGGGTAGGAGCCATTTCTGAGTGTTCTTCTTTTCCTCCCTTAGCACATGCAGGGCTGAAGTTACAGTCTTGGCCTCGTGTTTCTGCTTTTTTCTGAGATGCTGCAGTTCCCAACTCTTTTTGTCTTTTTTGTGTATGGTATGATCCGTCTCCAAGCACTGTCTCCTAAACCTGATCTTCACTTCTGCATCATGCTTATTTGAAGGAGACAATATGCAGATTTAAGTTCTTCCACATGCTTCAGAAGGGCTTTTTTTTTTTTCCGTCTCAGTATCCTCAAGACATTTGGTAGCACTGAACAAAGTTTCCTGCATGACTATCAGCCAACTCCTAGCCTCATTTTTCTTCTTTGTGAATTTGCCTTTTCTGTCACTTGGATCTTCAGGATCCTTCTTTAACTTGTGTACGTTTTTTTTCCCAAATGCTGTTGCTGGGCAGTTTTTTGTTTTAACTCTTCAAAATGGGTTTTCAGAGAAACGGTTTCATAGTAAGAATCAATAATCTGTGTTAGCTGCTGCTTCTGATTCCACTTCATCCTCCTATTCACACCATCTAGATCTAAATTCCCTTTGTTAAGCAGTAGTTTTCCCCTATTATTAACCTTCTTCAAAACCGTATCATCAGACTGAATTTCCATGATTTGAGTTTGTTCTTGCTGAGCCTGCTCTAGCTCCTTGATGACCCCTCTAAGGTTTGTAACAGTCTCCCAAAATGACAATTTTTCCAAATGGTAATTGGAATATTTTGTTCCACACATATCTGAGGATGCTTCATAAGGACTTGGACAGGGACTCCCTGTTCTATAATTGGAGAGAATCCCTTTATTGCTTCTACCTCTTCGCTTATATTCTTCTTTGGTAGCAAGTCATATCTCAGAATACTGGAGTAAAAAGTGCTTACCAGCTTTTGGCATTTCCTAAGAGAACAACCACATTCTGTCATCAATTAATTAGAAAAATGAGAGGTCACGTCGTTTGACAGTAATCTATTCAGAGACAGCAGAAAGGCAACTGTGAATAAATTTCAATAAGCTTTGCCAATACTGTTACAGTACTGGTAGAGTTGTGTCATTCTTCTATTGCAAAACAAGAGATGACACCCTTTGTTCAATTTATGCAAACTATTTTTTCACTAACTTCAGTGAAAATTTTCCATCTGTGAACAGAAGTCAATGTGGGCCGGCATTATGAAATGATGAAACTGAAGGAGCCCACCCTTCTACAGTGTCTACAGTCCTTGCACCTGCATCAGGCTCCAGCAAAGTGAAAAGTCTAAAGAATGTCATTGTCGTATTTTGGCCTAATGTAGAGTAATCTTTGACCTTAAAGCAAGAATTTTAAAACCCAAGAAATCTAAATTAAACTTGGCCAAACATCCTGATTGTGGAAAATGGAGAAAAAGAAATGTTTACATTAAAGCGGTAAGAAATAAAAGTCTTGCGTTGCTCTATGCATTGTTCAATGTACTGAGTTTTGAGAAGACTGATAAAAGGGAGATTTTACTCACTGAAGACAGAGGTAGAAGGCAAAAAAATATGCTTGAAATGCTACTCAATTCATTTGTTGAAAGAAGTGGGACAGTCAGAATATCCCATAGTACCTTACGTAATAGGCCATACAATCTTTTTACTGTATTTCCTAGATACCATAATAAAACTAACAGTAAGAGTAGCGTTTGATCCACCATTTTTAAATATTTGTTTTTAATTTTTGTCTTACACTCTCTGTAACTGAAAAAATTAGAAAACTATAAATAGGAAAAAGCATCTCAGATTCTGGTGGAAACTCTCTCAGTACTTCCTCTTTTGTTCTGCTGCATTACACTGTTCTCTGTATCTCTTTTCACTTCTCTGTTTGACTGTATCAGGCCTGGTATGTAGGCTATGTTCAGATGCAAAGAATCAGATACCATTGTTGCTCTCTCTGCAGTTTTTTGGAGGGTCTGTCTGTTGTCCATTGGCTGCCTACCAAAAGACTGTAATTTTTAACCTGTAATAATTTTTAATTTTCAATAATTGTAATTAAACATAATTTAAAAATTAATTAAAATTTAAAATATTCATCAGTTGTAATCTGCATGGGAACTTCAATGAAAGTGCACCGCCCCCTACATTCAGAACTCAGTTAAGTTGAGGCACAGCTCCAGCCACCTTCATTTGATATTCTTAACACTTCTCTTTTATACAATACATCTGGGAGGCCCAGCACTCACATACAAAATACTACAATATACATGTTATTTAAAGCACTACTATGAGCTTTATCAGAGAAAGGTAGTTTCATAATTCAAGCTTACAATTCAAGCAGCATGAAAATCTTACCATGACTTCTTCTGGACTGGGAGTTTTGCTAGCCAAGTTCAAATTATCCTCTCCTGAAAACTGTTTCTCAGTACCAAAACCTGGATATGTCTTGAACAGAGAGCCATGGGGCTGAATGAGAAAATAAGACACATCTTTTATGGGAGATTCTTTAATAATGCAATCCAGTACCGACTCTCCCATTTCTACAAATGTCTCTTCATGAGGAACTACAAGGGGCTTAACTGATAATTGTTCTGGCAGTGAAACCTCTTCTCTCCTAGATTCCTGCAAGTCTTTTTAAATAATGTTTTTTCCATCTATGTTTTCTTCTCACCAGCCCAGCATTCTCCTTTGATGTGCTGGTTCTTCTTTGACTATGGATTCCTCCTCTGAGAAAAAATGTTGTGTCCGCACCTGAAGACTCCTTCCACTTGGCTATGCAGAAAGTGTTTCTATGACTTAGTGACTCCCTTGTTTTCTGAGAGGTATCTTGAAAATTTATGTAGACTCCAAAAGAGAATTAAGTTTCTTACAACAGTTTCAAAGAATATTCTTGGAAATAATATAGCTGTGGAGAAGAGGTACTTCACTTGGAACTTAACATATGAATAATTTGCCTTCTTCAGCGTGTATCATTTTTGATCAGGAGCCACCTAGCCAAAACATGACGCAACTACATGAATGTTCACAGCAGCACTGAAGTACCGTATTACCTAAATTCTCTTTCCTATATATGTGTGCCTCTTCCATTTAAACCAGTGTATGTATAAGGTCAGCATATAACCTGCAATATTTGAATATCAAGCCTACTGCATGGAGATGGAGGAGATCTTGGCCTCCTGATGTGCTGCTGTACAAAAAGAGTCAAAGTAAAGGGACTGCAAAAAGCAGAGCCGGATTTCTCTTGATGTCCAAGAGAGCATGAACAGTTTTTTCTGACAGTCACATGAACTTGCTTGTTGTCAGTCTTTGATACAACTCATTGCAGTTGCAGTGAAGTTGGAGAGCCTGAGCTCAGCTGAAGCAGCTGAGACCATATCTCAAGAAAAGGCCATCTGAGGGTGCGTGTAGCTCCTGACAACTATTTGTGCTCTGTGTATTGTGACAGCTTACTGTGATCATGGGCAAGAAAGAGCTTGGAAGAAGGTGGAAGGACTCAGCTGCTAGGGAAATACTTCGTTCTTCATTACACTGGCAGAGTAAAAGGGGAATGTATCATCAGCAGCTTACTTCTGAAGCTACACGTAAGTGAACTGAACATTGACTTTATATTTCTTCTCTGTATGATCACCATTCAGGACGTAGATGCTGTTTTCTATTTTCAGATAGCTTTTTATGTGAATCATCTAATTTTAACAGTTCCATGACCATATGCTTTCTCTTTCCCCCTCCTATGTCTCTCCATGCTCTGTACAGTCCCTGTTGTTTCTGTCCTTCACTCATGCCACACCAGTAAGATATAAGCAGCTGACTTCAAAATCTAATGAAGTTTGTTGATTTCAGCAGGCTTTGCACCAGCTCAAGATCTGTGAGACAGCACTGTCTGTGAAATACAAATGGCATATTTTGGTAGGGGAGGGGTGTGTGAAAGATAAAATGTCATTACCACTCATCCTAGCACATGGCAGTTGAAGTCCCTCTCATGTTTAACATCACCAACAGGAACATACTGCATGTCAAATTTTCTAAGACAGGCTCAGAAACAGAGATTCCTTCACAAAGCTGGCAGTCAGTGTCTTTTCTTCCCTTTGGATTCTACATTTCATCCTGCAAATAAAATTTGTGGTCCTCTCAAGTTGCTTTGCCCAGGAAGGAGCAAGACTCCCATAGATTCTGAGTACAGCCTCTGTATCCAGTTTCCCAGCTTCAGTGTGAACCATAATATATCCCTCTCTTACGTAACATGAGGTGTTAGGTACAGACTTGGTACATCTCCAAGTGTGAGCAAACATCGTGGCTTTTAATTTTCAGGAAAGATAACAACATAGTCATAGGCAGAGTAAGGGAGGCAATAGTTTTCCCAGGACAGTCTTGTGTGAGGAGGAACACGGGGAGCTACAGTGGTCCAAGCTGAGTACGTAGGCTGCTGGAGGGTCTCTACTCCCAGGGATTAGGGATGCTGACTGGTAAACCTCTGTCACCTCTTGGCACATGACATGTCACATGGTGGCTGGCACACAGAACCGTAGTTCTGCTTCTCCCCTTCCCTCCCACTAACTCGTGCAGTGGTCAGTAAAGAGTGGAGAGCCTGAAATCCCTATTTTCCGTCAGTGTGAACCTGCAGGGGAATGTTAAAAATAAGTTACCTCTTCAGAGAAATTGAAGGCAGAAGGCTGTATCCAGGGAATTTCCAGGCAACACAATATAATGAGAAACAACAGGGCAGTTTGTTTTCATAAGGAGTCTACCTTTCCCTCTTCCAGACCTCCCTCGTGACACGTCGGGATGGGCTTGTGTATCGTAGCAATTGAGTAGCTTGAGGGCCCTCCAGCAGCGCTCCCTCTCTCCTCTGGCTGAAGCCACCGGCGTCCAGGCAGAGCAGCGTCACCTTCTCGGGCAGGTGGGCCTTGTAGGTTAAAGCGTTCTTTGGAAAGCAGTCGTTGTGCTGCTGCTTCAGACTGACGCTGTGTTCTTCTCTGCCTTGCCAGCTGGCACTTCGTTACAGAGAGAGGACATTTGACTAAGATTCCCTCTTTGATACGAAAGGAGGAGAAAGGAGCGTTTAGGTTCCAGGTGCTCCTGTGTCAGAAGCTTAAGCGGCAGAACTTGAAGACGGTCTGCAGCAAAGCTGTAGCTTTAGGAATGTCAGAAGCTGGCTCGCTGCTTTCCACGTTCAGAGACTCTCAGTGGGTTGGCTTTACAGAAGCGTTGCGGATGGAAATGGCATTCTTTCTTTTGTAAATGCTTCTCACTGCAAGCATCCCTGTTTTCTGCACAGTCGTAGCTTTTTTGATAGCCTTTACATACACCACTTGGATAATGGGAAAACATCTACAAAGAAGACCACATTTTAAAAATTTACCATTATGAACAAGACGGCAAAAGCCCAGCACTCACTTTTTTTCTTAATCCTACGTTGTATCAGTATATAAACAGATTAGCACATTGTTTGGTGTAAAGGGTGTTAACAGTGACCTAAGATGCTTCTAGCGAGGCTTGAAAATTGGGAATTCCTTTGGTTTCCGTTGCGCCTTTAAGAAAGATTGGAATTTACTGTTTCAGAATATATTAGATAAAACTCTTATCAATACCCATCACAGGTGGCACAGATCATCACTAACGTTTTAGGGAAAACCATGAATCTGTGGCGTAAACGGTCATTTCCAGCGAAGAGAAGAGGGCTTGAAGATGCGACCTTCCTAGGGCTGCATTACGCCACGCTGTGCGGAGGTACCACAGAGGAGTATTGACGTGTTTGTTCGCTTATCAGTGGTCGCTGCGAGTTCCCCCAGAGGGCGGCCGCGGCTGCCG